TCCCTGTCCTCGCTATCCAAGAACTTTTTGCGCCGACGAGGTCGATGCTGTGTAGTCTGTTACTTTTTTCTTGTATATGTTCATGTTTATGTGATAGCAGTCCTATATCATCTGCAAAATCAAGGTTCTCAAGCATTGTGAATGGAGTCCACCGTATGCCTTTCAATGTCTTGTCTAGTGTGTTTTTTAGTATCCAATCGATCACAAGGTTGAAGAGGAGATATGACATAACACATCCCTGTCTTACACCTGTCTTTAATGCCGAAATACTTATGCTTAAATTTGAAGGATCAAAGACTGTCAATTAAAATATTAGTTTGAAAAGCATGACTCCAGCTTTTACAGAGCAACGAATGTATTAACTGATTAGGTCATGTCCCCTAGTAGGAAAAACAAAACAAAAACAAAAAAGTTTTCATTTCCTAATTTTATTTATACTTAGTTAATTCTTTTACTACTACTGCTACTACTAATTCTTATGCAACTACTGTCATTTCTGTCACTGCTGCTACTACTGCTGCTGCTGCTGTTACTACTACTGCTGCTGCGAGTATTGCTGCTGCTATTGCTACTGCCACCGCCGCCGCCACCACCACAACCATTGTTGCAGCTGTTGTAGCAACTACTGCTACTATTAATTTGCAAAATTATGTCTAGACCGTGGTGATGCATTCTCTGCTTGTTCGTATCCCATCACGCTGGACTGGCACTGGAGGAAACATGCAGAGGACACTTACTAGTCTCAATCTACGAAGCGATGCATGGTTCTATGCACAAAATATGCCTGATCTCACTGATCTCGTCATTCTATGTGAGTCCGTTACACTGACGACTCGTGTGTAGAGCTGATTTTCAAGCAGCCGGCGGACAGTTTCAGTGACTGCCACAACCTGTTCTGTCCATATGTCAAACTTGCAACGAATGTTTACACATTTCCTGCCCTGTATTGTGCAACTCGATGTGCTGGGCGGGCGCGAAATGATGGTAAGTTGGGGTGGGGGGGGGGGGGGAGAAGAGTAAGAAGGTAGTGATGATGTTGTAAATATTGACAACTCTTCCTCTCTTCCATATGTAAGCTGCTTTAAAGTCAAAGGGTAGGAAGGATGATAAGAAGGAGAACATAAGAGAAGGAGAAGGGGAGGACGAGGAGAAGGAGCAGATGAAGAAGAAGAAGAAGAAGAAGAAGAAGAAGAAGAAGAAGAAGAAGAAGAAGAAGAAGAAGAAGAAGAAGAAGAAGAAGAAGAAGAAGAAGAAGAAGAAGAAGAAGAAGAAGAAGAAGAAGAAGAAGAAGAAGAAGAAGAAGAAGAAGAAGAAGAAGAAGAAGAAGAAGAAGAAGAAGAAGAAGAAGAAACAGCAGCAGCAAAAGAAGAAGAAGAAGAAGAAGAAGAAGAAGAAGAAGAAGAAGAAGAAGAAGAAGAAGAAGAAGAAGAAGAAGAAGAAGAAGAAGAAGAAGAAGAAGAAGAAGAAGAAGAAGAAGAAGAAGAAGAAGAGGAAGAGGAAGAAGTAGAAAGAACAAAAACAAGAAGAAGAAGATTAGGCAAACGGCTTAACCCTTGGTTTTAATGGACCCCCCCCCCCCCCCCTCACACACACAGAGCAAAATGATTTTAAAATAAAATTGGTCTAGCACCATATGTCTATTACACCAATTTTTTTTTTAAATTACTGCACTGTACATCTAGACTTAATTTAAAAAAAACAACAACATGAAAATTTAAAAAAATTAAACATTAGGCCCTACGAATTATAAATTTTTGGGTTAGAAGCAGTTAAAATAATACCAACGCGATAAATAAGAATTGAAAGCGACAGTTAATGATACAGTCGATTAACGGAACAATTAGAGGGGGACAAAAAAATAATAATATAAATAAGCAGAGTCAAGCAAACGCATGGTTATTTGCCATGGCATCATCATAATATACAGTGTCAGTATGCGTAGGCTGTCAAGTTTCGGCCTTTGACACGATCACCAGAATCACGGATCAGTTCAATGCTTGTGTCTCACCCCCATCCATCTGGCCAGGCCATCCAGGTATTTATCTCTTCGCCTTTCTCTTGCTCTCTTTCCATCAGTAGTACCAGTTAGTACCAAGTTCCCGAAACCATTGCTTCTCATAATATACCCCCCCCCCCCCCCCAAAAAAAAAAGGGATTGACTGTCTACAGTCCATTTAATCTAATAAATAAGTTGACGACATCGATATGTCTCGATGAGGACTGCTTTAATTGTTTTTCTCTCATTCCATGATCTTTAGTGCATGACAGCCTAGCATATGACACCACAACATCTAGCATGAGAATGGAGGTGGAGGCGGTAACTGCAGCTCTCCGGTGGCTAGAGAACAAGATGCATACACATGTCGTAATTGTAACAGACTCTGAAAGTATTCTGAAAAAGGTGAAGACAGGTATGATTCGAGCAGAGTGGCAAGCTTCACTGAAATGGTTCACGGGTGGTGGGCGTACTTTAGATCTTTTCTTCGGGCAATGCCGGTGTGGAAGGTAATGAACAGTCAGACAGATTGACTGGATCCGCACCACTGGGTGGTGAACTGATACATGACAAGGCAGATGTTGTCAAGACCCTTTGGGAAGAAGCAACGGAATCAGTAGAGAAAGAATATTATTATGGCCTGGAGAGAATGAGGCAGTGTAACCAGAGGATCTGGTCGGCTTATTACACTCAGAGGAAAGGCAAAACGCACATTTAACCAGATTGTGACCGATACCATCAACCTGGAACTCTGCGCTGGCTGCTGAAGATGAGGAACGAGCATGTATGGGAATGCACTGTGATGTCAATTCTTGACTTAACCCAAACTCAACTCAACTCCTTCCATGATTATAATTCCATTCTTTTCGGAAAGCACATCTCTGTCGCGAGTCCATTTTTTTCAATGTGTCAATTATTAGCCGTTTTTTACATGTATACAAAAACACAGGTTCTATTTAAAACTTTAACATGAGTACTGAATCACTTAAAATGTTTTCATTGGTAGCATATAGTATTAGTGAGTAACTCACATTTGACCTGTTGTCAGACTACTAAGAAAAGCAAGGTCTTCTTCTTCTTCAGCGTTCTGAGCCCTTGAGGTTCATTGATGCAGACATCACCCGCCGCCACTGATCTCTCTGGTTGGCCTTCTCTTTCTTATTTGCAAGTGTTTGCAGGTCTCTCTGGACATTATCTCTCCGTCGTCTTCTTGGTCTGCCTCGTGGTCTGCGAAAATTCAGGTTCCTTGTGTATACAGTTTTTAGCTCTCTGTCATTTGACATTCTCTCAACATGACCAGGCCAATTCAGTCTATTAGATCTCATGATGCCAGTGATCAATGGTGATTTAAACAGGTTATGAATTTCAATGTTGCTTCTCACTCTCCATTTCCCGCTGTTTGTATCTTTGATGGGTCCAAAGATTCGTCGTATTTCTTTGTTTTCGAAAATGTGTAACTAGGCTTCATCTCTTTTAGTTGTGCTCCAAGTTTCAGAGCAAAAGCAAGGTCTGGTAGGTATCAAACGGTGTTTACTTGAGTTGCATTGAATTGAGGGTAATCAAGTCACGATATCACAACACTCTCAACATGCTCATACACTCTCATACTTCAGCAGCCAGCTAGGAGTTCTAGTTCCGATGGTACCAAAAGCATATATTTAAAAACAGTTTCCTTGTGTGTGCATGTGTATGTGTGTGCTCGCGCACACACACACTGTCTGTTTATTTCATAAGTCATTTAAGAGTTAACCATTCTTTTGGAGTCGATTATTTGGGGACTGACACTCTTGTTTGGCTTTGATTTGTCATGGGTCACTTTTCCGGTATACGGATACCTCCATTTCATTGCAGTCTTCCCCCAGAGATAACACTTTGTCAACCTCACCCGCAGTGCAAGAAATCCTAGCACCAAGGACCCGAATGTGGGTATAAATCATAATCGCTCGTGCTTTTAGAAAATGAAAAAGAAACATTTAGAGGGCAGAAACATACACAATTAATAATCGGGGGGCGGGGGGGGGGGGTGAGATTGTGGATTTTACATGAAGTTGTTGAATTGTTTGATTCGTTAATAAACCATACACACGGAAGACTATTTACTGTATTAGGTCTAATGCATAGACGCTAACGAAAGCTGAGCCCACAAATGGACGCTTACAACCAGAATTAAGACAGGGTGTTGAACAGTTCTCCTGAAACTATGGACAAGTACAAATTCGATTATACTGTGTGGCAAAGCTGTCCTTTCTCTCTCAAAGTTTAAGAATCAACGAACTTAAATGACCGTTACAGGAATTTCATGTTTTGCAACTGGCGTGTGATGAAGGAAATTAAAAAAAAAACATGAAAAATGTTTGCTTAATTGAAAGGAGAGATTGTTACATGTGGGTGGGCTACAGCAAGAAATTGTTTTGGAATGGGCTATCTGAATGTCACAGTGAAGAAGCATAGTGAGTGTGGAGACATTTCAACTGACCGGTACAGAATTCAGAAGATCGCACAGGAAATAATTGAATGTATTGTCAGCTCTATGCGACAGATAGACGACACACCATGATGATGATGAACTAAACATATTAGAAGGCATATAGTTGGGCTACACAGCACTAACCAATTATCTTTCCCAAATAGATTTGAGGTACAGTTTATTACTGAGTGAAAAGAAACCTAATATTTCTCCCCATCTGTCCAGTTAACATTAATATCCTAAGGTTTAAACCTAAACCTGATAGCCTAATAGCCGACACCTACAAGGTCTGGAAACTTCGGCCAATCAGCGCGGGCCAAGTAATAATGTTGTCTTCTACTTGGGGAACGCTGATTGGTTTAATGCCCGCTCGTGGTGTGTGACGATTGGTTAGTTTTTCTAACGGAAGGGGATCTTATTTAATGGTTGCAAGCGTTGAGGAACGTGCTAACGACTGACCGTCCGTACCGGCTCTCTTTCTGTCATTTATTTCTTATCTTGTCCTCGTCTGAAAAAGCAGACGCTGGATTTTCAAATATGGCGAAAATGAAACAGTTTTTAGTCATTGGAGTAGCATGTTGTTTATTGTTTGCAGGTATGTTTAAATAATTTAGACGTGTTTGAACTGTTTGTGTAGTTTGTCAAAAAGCCAGACTGAACAAATCGGACTTATGCGACACAGACTATGAATGACGTCCTCGTTTAACCCGACACAATAAGCGATTAATACACCTGGTGACACAAAGTCAAGTGCCACCATTTGGATGAAAATCTCCCAGGTGCAACTCCCAGAAACCCTTTTTGAAATTGTAAGGTTATATTTAAATTACTATTAGTAGTATTAGGACCCCGACGCTGGACGAGTAAAGTAACGTGAAGTCACAAACCGGGGTGGGGTGTGTCCCATGTCGGGATTGTCACCTGTGACTACATTTTTATTGGTTGACAGTTTACGAACGATATGTCAAAAAATGCAATGTAAAATTCAGAGTACTTAGTACATATCTAATGCAAAAACTTTAAAGATTGATGAAGACGGCCTACTCTCAGTAGTTACGACAACTACTTAACAGTTTAGTTTAACAGATAACAAAGACTTCAAAATTCAAGTATATTAAAAATAATAATTGTTGAAACAGTTAAAAAAAAATATCTTTTCGGAACAAAAGGTAAATCACTTAAACTTGCCAGGAAGATTGAAATATTAAATAAGACGCAAAAATTCATTGCAATCTAACTGGCAGTTAATGAGAAAATGGCTTGCAAGTGTGTTTATTGTTGAATGAACTATGGTGTTTATGATAATGTCATGTGCCTGATGTGCCTCCGGCATGCAAAGGGTCCTTTATTTTTTATTTTTACTGGGACATGCTGCAGCTTTCCACAGCACCTTACAGTGTATTCTAAACCAGAAAAGGCAACAAAATAGTTCCATAGTTGTCAATAGTGGAAAGATGAGACAGATCACATTCATTAGTTGAAATAGAAATTGTCATTTCAGAATAAAAATTGACAAGATTCTAAAGCCACAAATATTAAATAAAAACTAGTTGCTGGCAGAAGATTATTCGACTCTCCTCTCAACTACGGCCGGTAGACGGCCGGTTAGTCGGAGTTCTGTCCCTTGGCTACAGTGCAATTACGGAGTGGAGAAGGAGGGAACGAAACAATTGACACAATTACTGCGTGTTGGCGATAGACAGCGTGCACTGCCCTGCTATAATCATACGGTTTGGATTAGGGTTTGGGTTGGGTTAGGGTGTGGGTTACGGTTAGTGTCGCCGCATCTCGTCTTCGCACAAACTCATAGTAGCAACCCTAAACCTAACCCAAACTCTACCCCTAACCCAAACCCTAATCTAAACCCTAACCGTATGATGACAGTAGGGCACTACAGCTGTCTATCGCCAACACACAGTAACTATGTCACTTGTTTCGTTTCCTCTATTCCACTCCGTAATGCGTCGCAAGAAGCGGTAATTGAACGCGGTCGCTAATTTGAGTCGCAGCGCGGGGTCTGCAAGCCATGTTGACGTCACTTTGTGTTGTGATTCGAGCCTTTTCCACTCCGTAATTGCACTGTAGCCAAGGGACAGAACTCCGACTAACCGGCCGTCTACTGTTGTCTACCGGCCGTAGTTTACAGGAGAGCCGATTATTCCACTCATTATTTTAAAAACAAAAGTTTCAGTGTTATTAGGTAAAGTTTACATTTTCAAAAAATGTTTCACTATGTTGCTCTTTGGGCCCGCCCCCTGAGCAAGTTGTCTAACTAGGCCAAACTGAGTTTCCCATGCTCGTAATCTCCTGTTTTTATGCATGACTTGTTCACACAGAAAGTAGCGATATGATTCTGCTAGCAGTCATCTAATGCATTGAATGTTAGTTATTCCTCCCAAAAATTTCTCTTTATGCATTCAGCTATTATTGTTTTGATGTAGACAAAATAAAATTATTTTAAAAAATCAGCACTGTTCAGAATTTTGCTAAAGTATCATAAACCGGCCCTAAATCAGACTCATAACTCCATCTCTACTGCCCCGAAAAGTGGTACATACAGACTGTAGGGCTGTCCTCCGAATAACGGTCCTAGATTATTGAGGCGGAAAATATACCCTAACAGGGCCTCAGTCACGTGTCTATTGCGCACTTCCGGCGACTTCTGCCACCACCGAGCGTATTCCCCCACGCCGCATGAGCGGCGTGGATTGGGGCTAAACTAGATGGCTGGGACTCAGGAGCAGCAGCTACCGCATCTCCTGCAGCTTCCTTCATTTTATTTGCTCATGAGTCCTAGACATCTAGGTTAGCCCCAATCCACGCGGCGTGGGGGATACTCTTGGCGGTGGCGGAAGTCGCCAGAAGTTCGCAATTCGGCTGTGGTGTTATAGTCCCCGGAAGTGCACAATTAACATGTGACTGAGGCCCTGTTAGGGTATATTTTCCACCTCGATAATTTAGGACCGTTATTCGATTGTAGTTACATTTAAAAAAAAATCATAAACCTGTGCTTTCAATGACTAGCACACATCTCCATAATTTTAAGTTATACTTTTAGCAGATTTTGCAGAAATCAAACAGCAAGCAAACATGGAAATAATTCTCACTATTAGTGGGGCTAATTACTATAGGCTTCATTAATATTTAAGGAAATCCTTAATAACTTTTATGCCAGCGTTCAAATGGGTGAATAAAAAAAAAATAAAAAAAAAGGCTAATTGCATATCCTTTGTAGGACTTTACGTTGCAGAACCAACCACATCAATTTTTAGCTGTTGTGGTTTTTCTAGGCACATTTAACGTCAGTAGTTCGTCAGCTATTGGTACCACGGTCAAAACCAACGCAAGACAAATCGTCTACAGATGGGATCAACCCCGGCATTACGAAGTGCGTTTGCAACACCTAGGCTACAGGTGCCGACTTCATTACCTACTATATTTCGTTATTGTTCCAGCAAGCGAGTACGTAAATATGAGAACAGCCATTACCATAATGTTCTAAGTAGCTGAGAACCCACAGGATGGTGAATCTCACGCATTCAGCGAACCATGTCAGCTAAGCTTGCATTACTATGGGCATGACATGGGATATAAGTCTCAGACATGCATTCATGTTTATTACTCAGTTTCAAATGAAGTATATGTCATTTATGGAATATTATAATTGACCTAGACACTTGAGTGAAGTTGCAGTAAATTTTATTTTGTCAGCTCTGACAAGCATATTTGTTTTCAGTAGGCCATGACTGTCATTCACTGTCCTTTGCTTATTGAAATACAGGAACATCACCAGTGTCCTACCTTTGCCAGTTAAAGGCTCTTGTGTTGAAATCTAGTTTCAAATGCTTATGTAAAATGTGCTGCTCTGTTTCTCTGGTTGTTTAGTATCCATGGTAGTTTTATCTTTCAGGTTGTGATTGTTATGTTCCCTGTACTTGCTTTGTGTGTATTGTCTGATTTATTGACAAATCAGTTTAATTTCTTTTTGATAGTTGTCTTCTTTGCTTTCCCCAGCTGTAAACTCCGGGAGAAAGTTCTGAATGTTGGTCCTCTTTCTGGACTGTAGTCCTGATCCAGAAACTGAGTGCACATCCATTTTACAGACCTGACTCATTTATATGCAGGCTGTTGGTTCCTTGCCTCTCAGGCAAATGTACTCCAGTTTCAAAAGGAAGCTACCAGTTAGTTGACTCTTACAACATGCTTTTGGTTAGACAGTTGGTCTCTTCTTGTTTTTCCTACAATAGGGCTTAGTGAGTTATTATTGTTTTCAAGTTTTATGGTTACCATCAATTTGCTTGATTTATAGTTCATGATAAATCAATTTATTATAATTATAGTATATTGTTTTATTTCATGGCTGCAGTTGCTGCTGCTGCAGATGACGACGATGATGAGGATCTCACTCTTGATGATGACATTGGAAAGAGCAGAGAGGGTTCCAGAACGGATGATGAAGTTGTACAAAGGTAATTAGCTATAGGACTAACTAACTAGAATTTAAGAATGCATGGCGTTTTATTTCCAGTTGCCATAATTGTAAACTTGAAGATAAGAGAATCTTTAGTGCAGGACAGCCTAGCATATGATAGAACAACATCTAGCATGAGAATGTAGGTGGCTAGAGAACATGATGCATACATGTGTCATAATTGTAAGAGACTGAAAACATGCTGAGAAAGGTGAAGACATGGATGCTTTGAGCAGAGTGGCAAGCTTCACTTGTTAGGTCACAGGTAGTAAGTATACTTTTGATCTTTTCTCCAGGCCATGCTGGCTTGGTGAAAATTGAACAGGCAGATTGGCTAGATCTGCACCACTGGGTGGCAAATTGATACATGACAAGGCAGATATGGTCAAGGCCCTATGGGAACAAGTAACGAAGTTGGAGGAGAAACTAGATTATTATAGTCTGGAGAGAATGATGCATCTGGGTCTGGCTGACTCACTACACTCAGAGGAAAGGCAAGACGGACATTTAACCAGATTGCGATTGGTACAATTAGTATTAGAACTGCGTTGGCTGCTGAAGATGAGGATGGAGCACATATGGGAATGCCCCAGGTGCTGTGATGTCAATTCTTGACTCAAACTCAGCCGAAAAAAAAAAGGAATTGATTAATTATATTGCTTATAAGTTGTACTTTGTTGCAATTGTGTGTTTTTTTTTTTTTTTTTTAAAGTCTGAGTACATCTGCTAGTGAGGCAGGGAATGATAATTGACGCAAAGCTGGGACTTTCTCCTGGAATTCACAGCCGGTGAACCAGAAGAAGAAAGAAGAATAGTCAGCAACAATATAGACATACAGCAGGGGAAAGCAAGGTGTTATGCCTTGCATTCATTTTAATTCAGTTATACATATTACATCACTTGTTGTGGCCTTAATTTATACTGAATCAGTTATACTGAGTCAAATGATATAGCTAACTAAAGTAATTTTTGAGCAGCCGTTAAGTCTGTGTCTTAGGCGCTGTGAATGCACTTTGTAATTCCATGGTGCTGGGTTCAGTCCCTTGCACTGGTTTCAACAGCGCAAGAGCCGACCAATCGGTAAGCAGTGGCTAACTGCTGAATGTTCTAGACTTGTTTCTGCAACATCCTATCAAGGACACCCAGCTAACTTTTTGACTTACAGGACAGTGAAATTAGCCATCATAGAATTCCAAAGGTAAATGTTATGTATCTCATTGTTTTCATCTTGTTATGTAACTTTAAAAAATATATGTGATTTTTTTTTTTTTTTTTTTTTACAGGGAAGAGCAAGCCATAAAACTAGATGGGCTAAGTGTAGGACAGATGAAAGAACTCAGAGAGCAATCTGAGAAATTTGCATTCCAAGCTGAAGTCAATCGTATGATGAAACTGATTATTAATTCTCTATACAAGAACAAAGAGGTAAGACTTTGCAGTGACTTCCTGAAGTGTCTTGCTGTGTAGAGCAAATTAAACATTTGGCTTTAGCAGCTGAGATTTCAGCTGGTCCATAATGATATGCATGTTATGATGTAGGCTTAAAAAAGGAGTCAGTGTGAAAAGCAAAGTCATGTAACTTGCACAAAAGAAGGATATTGTTTAATGGCAAACATGCTTCTTTCACTTATAAGGAAGTGTACAAAAAAATAAAGAAAAATCCCTTGATCTGTAAGCTTTTTCTTCAAATACAGAACGAGAAAACAGTACAAGTGATTGACATCCAGTTGAAATAAATTATAGATACCTTTTTAAAACAGTTGATAGATTTAGGGTGGCGGTGTGTACTGTATACCTTTCTGTTGTATGCATATTGCACAAATGTACAAGTATTGATGGTAACGTTATATGAATAACTAAAAATGGTCTGACCAGAAATAGCTAGACATGATCGAGTACATAACTTAGGTTTTGCTTTTTTTTTCTCTCCAGATTTTCTTGAGAGAGTTGATCTCAAATGCTTCTGATGCACTGGATAAGATTCGCTTCCTCTCGCTGACGGATAAGAATGCTCTAGCAGCAACTGATGAGCTAACTATCAAAATAAAGGTAAGAGAATAACAATTTTATAGAACATGTTGTGGAAATTTTAATTTGTTATTTCTGTCTGTTAGGTAACAGCAGCTAAGATAAATAACAATTCAGTAAAGCATTAATACAAATTCCAGGGGACCCACACACACACACAAAACCAAGAGTTTGTGTGAAAAAAGTGTGTGCTAACTGGAGACTCAGATTAATACATTCCTGCTGGGACCAAATTGACGTTAACAAGGTTTTACTGTTGATTTATGAAACTTCTTTCTAATATAAATTACCTGTCTTTTTGAGAATGAATAGGTTGTGATATAATTGAACTGAGATTGCGCAAAGAAATTGTTAATGAAACTTTGGGTTTTTTGTTTAGTAAAATGTTCTTTTTCACAAACTCCCTAGGCTGACAAGGAGAACAATGCTCTGCACATCACAGATACAGGCATTGGCATGACAAAGGATGATCTCATTAAAAATCTCGGGACAATAGCAAAATCTGGAACCAGTGACTTCCTGGCCAAACTTGGGGAAGCCAACTCAGCCACTGAAACTAGTGACCTGATTGGACAGTTTGGTGTTGGTTTCTACTCTGCATTCCTCGGTAAGCAGTCTTCTTCTTCTTCTTCTGTTGTCTCACTGTTACCAGGTTGTAGCCCAGTGTTGTGGTTTTTCTGTATTTGTCTTGCACTTTTTGGGTGGGTTGGGTGATGGATTTTGTTAATCTTTTTAAAGGTTTTAGCTGCACCATTTATCCATCTCTTTCTTGGTTTTCCTCTCGCCGTCCTCCCAGATGTTCTGCTGTAAAGTCTTATGCAGTTTGGCCTGGCTACATTCTCACTAGATGGTCGAATCATTTAATTCTTTGGCCGTCAGTATAATCCAGACATGGTCGACTTGCTCTCTTATGTTGGTATTCATGGCCTTGTCTCTTCTTGTGTTATTAGTGACCTTGCGGAGACAGCATATTTCACGTCTAGTTATTTTCTGTTTTTGTGCCCTATTCATTGTCCATGTTTGGCACTGATTACATAAAGTTGAGATAAAGATGCTAATAATCATTTGCTGTTTTGCTGGAAGGGAGACATTTGGGTGTCTAAGCAGTGGGCTAGCTGGTAGGTGACAGCATTTTCCTTCTGTACTCTTGCTTCTATCTATCTCTGTCGAGTCTGCCATCTCCATAAATATGCTTCCTAGATATTTGAATTCTCGTACTTGTTGGATTGTAATACCATCAACAGGAACAATATTATGTTTCCTGACAATCCTCATTACCTCAGTTTTTTAGGTGTTTATTCTCATATCATACTTTGTGAAGGTTTCATGTAAGTATTCAGTGTGGTGTTGTAAATTCTGGTAGGCAGTCACCATAATCAAATGCCCTTCTGACTGGCAAGGGCGACCATGTCTTTCCACAACCTGTGACTTCCAACAATCTGTATCAGTTTATGTGCTGACACCCCTCCATGCCATTACAAAAGGCTGTCAAAAATCTTCTTACGTTGTCTTCCTCTGTCTCTTTTTCTGTAAATCTTTCTAGTGGTACCTAGGCAATACTCTTTACCTATATTTATTTATTTACACCCTGATTACATTTTTGCATCTACTGAGCAGACTGCCATGCGTTTCTTGGTTCACTCCAGAGGCAGCCTACTTTTCTTGTTCTTTTACAGTGGATATTTGCTGCACTGTCTCACTTTATCAGAATTGTTTGCTGAACAACTTCTGTCCCTTGTATAACTCTTTCAGGCCCAAACATTGAATACTCTGCGGTTAAAATGAGCTAAAGCAGCTGTCTAAAAGAGTTTTCTTTCGGTATCTTTTAAATATTCATTTCATTTAAAAAGTTAATCCTTTTTTTTAAAATGAGATTCTCATTGATTTTTTTATAAATGCTGTATATTTCCATCACTGCATTTACAAATACACTCCCCAAAAGTTGTTGGATTATAAAATGTCAGCCCTTTCGGTTCTGGACTTTATTAGAAAACAAAAAGTGACGCTGAAATTCATAAAAGACTACGAAGGGGCTCTGCTTACTGCTACCAATGATATCATGGACAGAATACTTCTCAGTTTCTTGGTGTTGAGGAAAGTCATGGCCCAGAAATAACGGATGGTATAACACCAGAGATGGTCAGATATATGTGAGCTGCAAGTGAGCGACTTCTGAAGGTTCTTCAGGCAGCCTGGTGTAGTAAAACTATACCAAAAGACTGGCAGATTGCCATCATTATACCTATATTAAAAAAGGGTGATAACAGACAATGTGAAAACCACAGAGGCATATCCTATCTCAGCTTTCCTGATAAAAGGTACTCTAGAATTCTCGAGCAGAGACTTAGAAGTCTGGTTAAGCCACAGCTGGATCAGACCCAGTGCGGCTTCAGAGAAAACCAAAGTACTCAAGACCTTATCTTCACACTGAGACAAATAAGTAAAAAACCCTTGAATATAAGAGTGAGATGCACCTATGTTTTTTTGGATCTAGAAAAGGCATTTGATTAGGTACCTTGGAGCAAGCTCTAGGACTGCTTGGCAGGGGAAAATCATCCTAGCACGCCTGATCAGTGCAATACAGAAAGCTGCAGGAATTATGTAATAACAGCAGACCAAAAGTCATAAGAATTTAAGACCATTAGCGGTGTTAGACAAAGTGATATTCTCTCACCTTATCTTTTCAATCTTACAATGGATGATGTCATGAAGCTGTAAGGAGAAGACATAGAAGTACTCAGTAGGTTACTGGAAGATGAGACCAATCTGTATATCAGAGCTGGCATTTGCAGACGATGTGGCCCTGATAGCTAAATCAGAGGCACACCTTCAGTACAACTTGTCTGGAAGGAAGAGCTTGAGAAGAGAGAGATGACTATCAGTATCTCCAAAACCAAAACCAGAGTGATCTCAAGAGAGGAAAAGAAACACCAGATCATGATGAAACAGTATGCACTAGAGCAGGTCAATCAGTTCAAATACCTTAAAGTTGTATTAGACCGAAATGGAGGCATAGGGACTGAGCTGGCTACCCGAAATGTAGCTGCTGGGAGACTCTTCCAGGCCATTAAGCGAGGGTTTCTTAGCAGAAGAGAAATTGGCAAGAGAAAGAAAATGGCTGTCTACCACTCTACCTGTGTACCAGTCATGGACAATGACAACAGCTCACAGAAGCCAGCTTCAGGCCTCCGAAATGAGATCTCTGAGAAAGATGGCCCAAGTGACGAGAAGGAACAAAGTCCGCAATCACACAATACGTCAAGATCTTGATACTCAGTCTAAGCAAATATTGGTGTTTGTGAATGTTCATTACTGCTGATGCATATGTACTTTTGTGTGCAGTTTGTGATCTACGTAAACAGTAAACATGTAACATTAATTTACAATGTTTTTTTTTTTGCAGTTGCGGACAGGGTGATTGTGACATCCAAACACAATGATGATGATCAGTACATTTGGGAGTCGGATGCTGAGAGCTTCAGTGTTATTAAAGATCCACGTGGTAACACTCTAGGCCGAGGCACCACTGTCACGTGAGTTTCTTATCTTTAATTTTGTTTTTGTTGTTGCACAGAAAGTGTAAGTATTTCGGCACAAAGGTACAACCAAATAGTATGTATTATTACCATCTAGAGAGGCAAGAAGATCGAAAAGTATCAGCTTTTTAATTGTGAGTTTTTATTTTGTCAGCTCATTAATTGTGAATTTTTTATTTTTATTTTGTATTATTTACTGCCTTCATTATTCCACTTTTTAGGGCATTAGGGTGATATTTAGCTTGGGAATGAAAAGCCACCATAAACATGTGTAAATTAGGAATCTCACCAAGGATTTGAACAGGGGTGTCCTAAATGAGAGCCTAATGTAGATTTGATATAATATTGCTAACAAAAAAATAAGTGCTATGTCATCGGATGAGAAAGCTGCTTTTAAATTATCATTGTCACTTTTCTGCACCTAAAAAATAAAAAGCATATTAGATCACAATTTCATGTTCTGTATGTTGTTATAATTCACCTTGTATCGCAGAAACATAGTTTGTGCTGTGTTAAATAGGTGGAGTATATGCACATTTCCTTCGAGCAGTTGTTATCTGAACTGGATACCTCACTTCATGTTAAATATTTCCGTTTTGATCTCAGCTTGCAGTTGAAGGAGGAGGCCCAAGACTATCTTGAAGAAAACACACTGAAGAACTTGGTGAAGAAATACAGTCAGTTCATTACCTTCAGTATCTACCTCTGGACAAGCCAGGTACATAACATCTAGAATTATAGGCTGTGATTTGCACTCTAGGTCATACAAACTCAAGTCGGTTATTCAGTTAATGCAGTAAAATTTGAAGTAAAATATTTTGCCACGCTTAGTGGGAAAATTATTTAAGTATAATCAAGGTTATACATAACATCTAGAATTATAGGCTATGATTTGCACTCTAGATCTTACAAACTCAAGTCGGTTATTCAGTTAATGCAGTAAGTTACGAAGTAAAATATTTTGCTACACTTAGTGGGAAAATTATTTAAGTATAATCAAGGTTAGAGTATACATTAAATCTAGAATTATAGGCTGTGATTTGCACTCTAGGTCTTACAAACTCAAGTCGGTTTTTCAGCTAATGCAGTAAGTTACGAAGTAAAATATTTTGCCACACTTAGTAGGAAAATTATTTAAGTATAATCACGGTTAGAGTATTCATAACATCTAGAATTATAGGCTGTGATTTGCACTCTAGGTCTTACAAACTCAAGTCGGTTGTTCAGGTAATGCAGTCTTCTTCTTCTTCTTTCTTTCGCTAGGTAATGCAGTAAGTTACAAAATGAAATATTTTGCTACACTAAGTAAGAAAATTTAAGTATAATCAAGGTTAGAGTATGACAGAAGATAAATTTCTTAGTAATTTCTTTTTTTGTAAATATTCTTCGCATCCCCCTGTGAGTTTAGGGGCCTCATTTTTTTTTTTAGAAAGAAGAAAAGGGAATAGATTGACTGGACTCCTAACAAGCATGTCACAAAAGATGACTGATAGGGCTTTTGCCTTTGAAGTGGAGTGCCTCTGCCCGAGAGATTGGAGCCAACAGGCTGCATACACATAAGCCACATCTGTAAAACAGTTGTGCATGCAAAATCCCACATTCTGGAAAATGACCAGTCCATAAATGGACTGACAACCAGAACTTTTACTGGAGTTTACAGCAGGTGAACATGAAGAGCTTGTCTGGTTTGTCACCTTGGGTGTACTGGTACTCTTCTGGCCGCTTTGACCATCTATACATTCTCTGATGTTATGTGCTAATGGTAATATTAAAATAAAATTAGATTAATTATGGGTAACAGTTCCTTAGACTTTCCTGAACTGTATTGTATTTACCATAGTTTGTCCATCTTGTAATATATTAATTAATGTTAAATAAATTCACTCAGTAAATGTCTGTTCCAAAAAAAAAATCCTAATTAATTGTCAAATTTATTTCAAAACAGGAGCAACAGGTGGAAGAGCCTATTGATGAAGATACAGCTGAGAAGGAGTCGAGTGATGATGAGGAGGATGAAGAAGCCAAGGTCGAAGAGGAAGAAGAAACCGAAAAACCCAAAACCAAAAAGGTGACCAAGACTGTTTGGGACTGGGAACTGATGAACAGTGTAAAGCCTATTTGGACTCGCAAGTGAGTTTAATATACTGTGACTAGTCTCTGCTGTGTTTGTGCTTGTAAATGGATTGAGTAGCAATTATAAATGGTTCCAGCTATACTGTCTAAAGTTGCTGACTGTCCTCCTAACAGTGTATGCCAGTTTATAGTCTTTACGACTTCCGTTTTTCAGATGGTGATGAGCAGCTGTGTTATTTTTAGCTGGCTGTGTTTTTTCTTGGAATGTTCTATTCCCTTGTCTTGGACTATCGTTTCTAGTGCAGGATACATTGTGTTGTTTTGGGGGCGTGCATTGGGGCTGTGCTGTGGTGACCAATAGTTTCCGCAGCATTGAATACACTGTTTTCGCAGTGTTTTGATTGCAGCGGCCAACTTTCTTGGAAGACAGAATCTTGTCAGTGGGAGCCGCTAACTGTCTAGAGAGCACACTCAGTAATAGCTGTCCCTAGAAATGGAAGGTGTCAACCTTTTTATTTTTATTTTTGCACATGTGTGCGGGAGGAATCAACACATACAGTTAACTCAGTGGCCATGCATAAATATTTAACAACTGGGTACCACCATGTTGGGTAACAATCATTTAAAAGCGGCACTGGGTCCCACATCTGAAATAGGTCCACCCTTCGCCACAGACAGCCCTGCGGCTTCCTGCATTACTAGTGTAGGAGAGGGTATCACTGCAAGTCAGTTCTTCTCTAGTGGAGCTGTTAAAAGACGTAGCCACGCCCAGTCGATGTGACAATTAAACATTGGGGAACCAAAGTTTATGGCTCCCAGTAGATTAAGCGCATGACCATAGTTTTAGCTGGTGAATGCAAATAATTTATTGATCCAGTGCATCTTGATTAGAGACATCCTTAGCCCCATGAATACTCTTCTATTAGACAAAATTTTATATTAATATAGGAAACCCACTCAGTTACCTTAACTAGAACAGACCCACCTATCACAGTATACATAATTGTCATTTATCATTATTATTTTGTTTTGCTTTACAAATTATTTGAATATCAAAAATATAGTCATTATAGAGTATGTTTATTTTTGTGTTATTTTTTCCCCACCCCTGCTCTGTTGATAAAGGCTAATCTGCGCAATGCCCTTGGTTTGTTTATTGATTCTGTAAAGCCGACATATATTTCATGTTTATCTTATCTTCAATAATGGCCTAAAATCAAATTATATTGTGCTATTTTATAGATTTTCACCTAACATCCTCACCTGTGTATTTTGTTTGTCCCACCTGCCAGACCATCAGAAGTTACAGATGAAGAATACAATGCTTTCTACAAGTCTATTTCCAAAGAAAGCTCCGAACCCCTGGCCAAGATTCATTTCACTGCAGAAGGAGAGGTGACTTTCAAGTCAATACTGTTTGTGCCTCAGACGGCTCCCCATGACACCTTCTCCAACTATGGAAAGAAGGTTGATCACATTAAGGTATTTTTCTTTTGCTCATATTTTATACTTGGTAAATGTCTCTGACATTTTGGCTTGATGAAATAGTTAGTGACGTAAATAAGTAGTAAAAAATAATAAGTATGAACATATTTAGTAATTTTATATATATATATATATATAAAGGACCATTTTTGCCTTGAAGTTGAAGGATATTTGAATATGGTACTAACCCCATAATTAAGACCAATCACTACTTGATTTGGACCGTATCATATGCGTCGCCTTTGATGCTCGATATTTCCTAGGCCCTATTTTAGGATGGGTTGACCATTTGATCGGGGAACATGCATGCTAGCCACTACACCACCACAGTTCTTGTGACAATACTTTCAGTCCAGAAAAATAATGTTGCACTACTTGAAGGCGACACAACTTGATCTGCTTGTCCTCAGTTTACTGCTTGCTGAAATGTCTAATGCACAGGTTACAGTGCAGATTCTCAGTTGTTGACAATAATCTGCAGTATAGCAGAAGATGAAATGTAAAAACTGGGGAGATGATAGGTAGGGATATGTTTGATTTCCTTACATACAACATGGAGGTGTCGCAGGGGGATTTGTTGTTGTTATTTAGTGAGTGCTGTAAAGTCGGGGAAAGTTAATATGTAAGAGGAGAGAGAGAGACACACCCACATTGAAAATTCTCTCTTCTCTCCCCCCCCCCCCCCCCCCCCCCCCCCCCCCCCCCCCCCCCCCCCCCCCCCCCCCCCCCCCCCCCCCCCCCCCCCCAAAAAAAAAAATACTGAGGTCTGTCTGGACTGCAACTTGCAGTTGTACCATGTAATTGTCAGAATAAGTATCGCCAAGCATCATTGTCTTGCCAGTGTTGTATTTATCCGCAGTCTTCAGACTTGTGAGATACCTAGCTAAGTGAAAGACTGCAGAGCCTGTTTGCACCATGTTTCAGATTTGCATGTTCATTCTCAGGAAGCTTTCGTCTGTTGTTAAGGCACTCTAAAACCATTCCTTTGATACTAACAGTAGTAAGTACAGTAAAGGACCCTTTTTTCATGCTGTCAGGTGTATTGTGCATATAGGGCTAGGCCTATTTTTTATTTTTTTTTAGAAAAGTCGGCATTCAGTGGGTGATGTGGCCGACACAACAGCATACCGGCCACCTTTACTTCCTAGGACTTAACCTGGTACCCATTGTAAGGCTGAGTCGATCTGGGAGCATTAGCCATAAAAAAAAAAGAAGTTTAACTCTTTTCAGATTAGAACTCGCAACCTTTTAATCAGCAGGCGTGTGTTCGGCTGCTGCACCATGGTGGCTTCCACTAACATTAATACTCATGTTTGAAAAGTGTGTAGAAGTTTTCAGTGAAAATACAGTGCTGGTCGTGAAGGTAGTTAAACCAAAAAAAAAAAAATGGGACCTTGAACAAAGAAGACACAAAAATTAGACTGCAGAATTTATTGCACAGTATCTTTCACTGTATCTTGTAAGGTGTAAACTACGCTAACAAGTCACTATTGTGAAGCAAATGTTTATTAGCTGCAAACACTGGTCTTCCATCTTTAAAAAAAAAAATAATAATAATACTTGTAAACATGTAATGGGACATTTTTAGTGGCCACATTTAGAATAGATGCTTCAACAGTTTTGAAAACGTGCAACTAACGATTACTCTGAATAAATTGTTGACAGATGTATGTGCGCAGAGTGTTTATCACTGATGACTTTGAAGACATGATGCCCAAGTATTTGACCTTTATTCGTGGTGTCGTCGACTCTGATGACCTCCCACTGAATGTCTCCCGTGAGACTTTGCAGCAGCATAAGCTGTTGAAGGTCATCAAAAAGAAACTGGTGCGCAAGGCATTGGACATGATCAAGAAAATTGACAAAGAATCCTATGATAAATTCTGGAAGGAATTTAGCACAAAGTAAGTCTTCTTTCTGTTCTATAAATACATCTTCTGTGTCACTGAGGCAGACCAGGTAGCAGAGAGTAGTAACATTTAAATCTCATGTGTGGCCTAGGAGACACTTACGGAGGGTTTACTACTACTGGACTGACTATCTGTTCCCTCAGTAGTCTTAACCATAAAATCTGACCATGAACATGTCACCTGAAAAGAGAATAAAAATAAATAAGCTGGCCAAGATAGAAACGGTGTTTCTCCTCCCAAAAAGTTATGAGTTAAGAACCAACATCATAGCACTCTGAACGTTCCCATAAACACTAGATCCCCCTCTTCGGCAGCAAGCATCGAGTCCTAATTTTGATGGTACCAGTAAGAGTGATTGTATATCTGTCTCATCCCTCTGCCAGAACCCCCTGTTCACTCCTCGTTTCATCATTCTCTTCAGACTTGATGATCTGTGTACCTCCACTGTTTCCTCGCCCCCAAAAAGCCCTTAAACATCTAGCTTGCCTTGCATTGATCAGTTTACTACCAAGTTGTGCTGAACCAGCCAGTCTGTCCATCAGTTCGTTTGGCAACACATCTGCATGCCCTGAAGAAAATACTCCCCTGTAAAGATATTGAAGGAATTACATACAGGGGAGAACAAAATATTAATAGACATTGCATGGAGCTGTTGAAGTCCTGTCTTATGTTGGGAAATCAAAGAAAAAAAGGCAGGATGCAGAAGACATTAATTCTTCTTCTTCTGCCTTTCTAACACCCTTTAATGAGGCACAGGCCCTCAGCCAACTCACGCCAAGTCGTTCTATATTTTGCTATCGCATGCAGCTCTCCCCATGTCCTCCCCATCTTTTAAACTTCACTCCCTAGCTCCCTTCTCCATGTGTTTTTTATATTGGTGTTTCTTTGTCTGTGGGTTCCAGTGCAAGAAGATTCTAGCTACATTGTTCTCAGGTTTTCTCAACAAGTGTCCTATCCAACGACAGCGTCTTTTCTTCACCTCATGGTCCACTGGAACTTGCTTACATCACTCCTGAAGTTCTGTATTAGTGTACCATTTAATTCCCTTTATTCTGCGCAGACACCAGTTAATGAATGTTTGTAGTTTATCAGTAATTGCCCTAGTTGTTCCCCATGTTTCCGCTCCATATAACAGTTTTGATTTAACGTTAGAATTAAAAATGTCAAGTTTAGTATTTTAATTTCTTTTAACCTCCACAAATTCCCTAATGCTGTGAAAGCTCCTTTTGTATTCGTATTTTAATATCTCTATCAGTTCTCCCATCTTTACCTACATTACTGCCCAGATAGGTGTATGACTCCATATCGAGTGGGGTACCATTAAGAGAAACCAGATTACTAATTGCCAGATTTATTCTCATTATCTTTGTCTTTCATTTATGGATTTTCAGACCTAGCTGCTGTGATCTCGCATCAAGTGTATTCAGTTTATCTTGCATCTGATTCCGTGAATGGGACAAAAGAGAAATATCATTAGCAAAGTCCAGATCATCAAGCTGTTTTGCAGGGGTCCACTGAATTCCATTCTTGGTTTGAGCAGTTGCTATCTTTATTATCCAATGTTGCCAGTAAAAATAGGAGAGGTGACAAAAGACTTCCGTATTGCATACCTGTTTTCATTAAAAATATATGTTAGCTTTTCCTCATGAAGAACTCAACATTTCATATTTCTGTAGGTTGCCTTTACTAACTACTAAGTTAATAATGAAGAGGAGAGAAGGCATAATGTCAAAGACATTCATGCATCTGAAATGTGTAGCTGTTGAAGATAGAGCATACACTTTAATCATCCATTGCATTTTCTGTCTTCAGCATCAAGCTGGGTGTTATTGAAGACACATCAAACAGAACACGTCTGGCCAAACTGTTGAAGTTCTACTCCTCCAACTCTCAGACTGAACAAACCTTTTTAGCTGATTATTTGGAGAGGATGAAGGACAAGCAGGAAGCTATCTATTTCATCGCTGGAACCAGCAGAGAAGAGGTACATGATTTCTACATTGGATTTTTTAAATATATAAAAAAAATGTTTTTATTAAAAGGTCGTTTTTTTTTCTCCATGAATAACATCTAACCTTCGATAATCTAAGAGATTTACAGAAAATAACATGTTTTAAATGACATGTTCTTCTCATGTGACTCCCTGGCTCAGTTTTTGGGAAATTAAAGTGAACAGATTCACCGTCCTTAACAAGCATGTTGTGATAGACAAAACTAAATATGTGGAAGTTAAATGTGTTTAGCTGAAGGTGTAGATTTTGCAGCGTAGCTTTAAACCACAACATAACGGGCTAATCGCCCTTTTAAGGGTGAAAAAAAAAAGAGTTAAAGGAGGTTTATGTTGTGAATTCTAGTAGACAGTATAATATTGTTTAAGAGCTTGTGGGCTGCCTTTGAAAAAAAAAAAAAAAAAAAAAACACCTACAAGGTAGCCATTACATCCACTCTGCCTACAGTTGCAATTGTCATATAGGATAGTATATATTTAATGAGGTTTCTGAATTCATTTTAAACTAGTTTACCTGTGACATCCTTTTAAAATATAACTAGTTCTGAGTATTAAAGGTCTTCAAAGCCCCATTTTTGTTAGGCTTTTAAAGAGTGAACACAGTAGAAGAATTCATTTTAAACTAGTTTACCTGTGACATTCTTGTAGAATATAACTAATTTATCAGTCATTTTTGTTGTCTTAATTTGTCTGTAGGTGGAAAACTCTCCCTTTGTGGAGCGTCTGTTGAAAAAGGGTTACGAAGTCCTGTACCTCACAGAACCTGTTGATGAATACTGCATCCAGTCATTGCCTGAGTTTGAAGGCAAGAAGTTCCAGAACATTGCTAAAGAGGGCTTGAATCTGGACACATCTGAGAAGGCCAAAGAAAAGAAAGAGGCCCTAGAGAAGGAGTTTAAGCCTGTAACAGACTGGCTGAAAGACATTGCTCTTAAGGACTTGGTAAGTTTTCTTGGAGGATTTCAGGGACATTGTCAGTTCCAGAAAGTTTAACATACTAGGCTTTATTCAGTTTTGTTCATTAAATTAACCTGAAACTATTGCATGCCAAAAGTGTGGTAGAAAATAAAGATAACTGTTTCACTTTGGTTGTACACACTCATACCCTTTGACCCTCTTTCTGCTATCTTCACACTTGCATTACTTGCTCACCTGCCCTTTAACTGTGTCCTCTGGTGAAGTTTTAAACACAAGTAAATATCTTCTAGAGTACCCCGTTAGTCATTAGCTGAAGGTTCCAAATTCACTGCAGATGGGCTGCCTTTAAGTGCTCCATTCCTATGCAAGTGGAAATCACAAAATGTCCTCCACTGTCCTATCGGGGAAACTACCTGTCAGTCCCAGCAGAGTCTTGAAGCTCATAAGACAGCCATCAGATGTGCCAACACTAACGAGTCTCACAAACTAGAATTGCAGATTGCTATTGATGCAAGCAGTCAGTGGCAAAAGCCGGCATTTTACCTGTAATACTGCATAAGTACACACCATTCTAAACATAATCAGCTACCCGCCATAAAAAAAAAAAAAAAAAACAACGGAAGTTCGCAATACAAAACTGAGAAAGGCACAATAGAAAATAAAAATACATTGCACATGAAGTCCACAGCTGGCAGTGTTACACCACAAACTCATCTTGGTAGCTCGGCAATGGAACCTGTTGATCCTGATCCAGAAATGGGCAGTTTCCATAAACTAACCCTGGCTACAACTTATCAGAGCATCAGTGACCAGCTGGTTATCTGGCATTTAGTATCCTGGGGGGGGGGGGGGGGGGGTGAAAGATTGCTCATACATTTTGGTGGACAACAGGCCTCAGAATTTTGTAAGCTTTGAATAGTTTGGTCACCTACCAGTGAAGGCCATAGTCATGTGACACAATTTCTTAAAGGACAGTTCTATATTTTGTCTGCATTTTGTTTGCTCAATTACAGATTGAAAAAGCTACAATCTCTGAACGTTTGACAAACTCCCCATGTGCCTTAGTTGCAAGTCAGTATGGTTGGTCAGGAAATATGGAGAGGATCATGAAGTCTCAGGCATATGCTAAACAGGGTGATGCATCATCCCAGTAAGTTGTTTTTATCTTCTTCTTGCATTCACAAAAAATTGCAGGGTTATTTACAAATGAAAACACTTGAAGAGTTGTGTGTTTAAACATTCATTCATTGTTGACCATTATCAAGAGAAGTTATGAAACCGAAGCAAAAGTATATTAGCAAGCTTCACAATTTAACAAATACAACCAAAACGTGAGCGTTGCGGCTATGGAGACTTTATCAGCACATACAAATCAAACAATACTACATACACACACAAAATCAATTAGCTGGTATCTCGAAGCAGCCGGGTCGATGACTTCTCAGCAGACTGCCTGTACGCATCGGCTGGGGGAATATACCTCCCTGTGAAGTACTAGGGCCATAACCAAATGGGTTAGAGATAACACTGTGAGGGCAGTTCAGTCCCCTAGGAGTTTAAATGGAACTGTGTTGGCAATTCAGTCTGGAGGTTGTTAAAGTGACATATTGGCCATATCATCTCTTTAGTTATTCAATGCTGCCATAGTGCTTTGATTTCAGTCACAGGCCCGAGGGAAAACTAAGGCTGTTGTGTTGTGTGTAGGGCCATACTGATGCCGTACGTCACTTCGGACACCGGCAGGCTCTGTGTTGGTTTTATGGACCTCATTCAAGACTCCTGCCACACGTCCTCATCAAGTGCTGTGGATAATTACTTATATAGGCTCAAACCCAAATAGCAGGGGATCCTGCTATTTGGGTTTGTCGACCGAATGTCCTACTAAATGAGCATGCCTAAGTCACATTATTCTAACGAAATTGGTCAGTTTTGTAAATTATCTTTAGCTGTCATATATGCAGCCTCTTTTTCTTATAACTTTACACACCAGCTTATTATGGCTGTGCTTTTGTGGTTACATAAATTTTTCAGGGAGCCGATGAGCTTTATTGCATCAGGTATGGTCTCATAAAGCTCAGTCTCTTTCAGCAAGATTGGCTGTTCTCATGCTGAGAGCTGCAGCGAAAGCCAAGCTGCATTCGTGAACTGCACAAGGGGGTCCAAAACCGAATGCTTTACCTTCATAATGCGAGGCTAAAGTTTTAACCACTTGAATATAGAGACCCTGTTGTGCTTACATGTAATAAGTAGCAGCAGAAGAAAAATATTAGCAATTAAACAGAAGTTGACATACAGAGGATGGAGGACACCTGGCAGTGATTATATATACAGAGTATCTAGGAACAGCATATCAATTCATCATTTGTTCATTAAAATGTTGGAGAACTTTCTGTGTGTGTTGTTTTGTATTCATTTGTGAGTGCATGTGTGTGTATGCTTTGTAAACATGGTGATGATGTCTTTTTCTTAGATTCTATGCCAGCCAGAAGAAGACTCTTGAGATTAATGCAAAACACCCTCTTGTCAGGAAGCTGAAAGAACTGGTTGAAGTAAGAGCAGTTTAAAAACAAATGTTATTTGTGTGACCTGTGTTTTCAGGAAAAAGAGAAACTGTTGCTAACTTTTAAACACTTCATTAAATTATGAAGAGGTAGTAGATAGGTGCATCATCCCCAATCAGCAGATCCTTTACAGAACTTCACTTTCCTCATGGCAGGCCAAGTCTCTGTTTCTGTAGCCAGTGCATTGTCAATGTATCCATGTTTGTGGAGGTCTGCCTCTGCCTTGTCCTGCAGATACTCTTCCCTCAATCACCATTCTCCCCAGGCCACCATGAAGTTTAACATGGCCAAAAGACTTCAGCTTTTAGGTTAGGATACTGTTTATGAGGAGGTCCTCCTTGCTGCTCAGATCATGTCGGGTGTGTTTTTGTTCTTCTTGGGTAACAAAAGCTCTGGTTTGTTTCTTTCTTCTTGTTTCTTCTGCATTTGAATAAGAGTCCATCACTCACATCCATATAAGTTCCCATGGCAAAGATGCATCAGCTCAGAATTTTTACTTGAACTTGCTTGCAGGTGCTGTGCCAACTTTTCAACATTTCCTTAACATTTCCAGTTTGGGAATTCCCCGAGTGCTGTGATGTCAGTTCTCAACTCAACTCAAACATTTGCTTCAATTATGAAGTGGTAGATAGGCATATAACCAAGTGTAATAATCCATTTTGTTGTCTTGTTTCTCATCTGTCTGTGTTCATGCTATTCATCATCATCATCATGTGACCGGCATCTCACCCAATCACCAGAATCACAAATCATGTCAGTATTCTTGTCTCACACCATCCACATGACCAAGTCATCCAGATATTTATATCATTCTCTTGCTCTTGTTCCATCGATTTTGCCAGTCATTAATCAGATTCTCAGTCCACTCTTTCTTATATAGTCCTTAAAGCACAGACTGCATCTAATTAAAAAAAAATCATTTTATGGCTTTCATGTATCTCGGAGGAATGCCTCATTTAAAAAAAATTAATTCTGTTATATTCTTTGCATTCTTCTCAGAAACCTAATCTCTGCTGCAAGTAGCTGTATTATCAGCTTGTCTGCTTATTGTCCACTTCTCGCTTGCATGTAACAACATAGGTTCTCTTTAGCACTTTCACACTTTTTCCTACTGCAGTAGACGCGTATAACCATCACTTGACTCTAAGTGCTTTATCTGGCAATGAGATAATTGAAATATGTATTTAAACAAAAAGAATTCACGTGAATTGATCTGCACTCATAGAATATAGATTAGAGGTCATACTAGACAGTATGGCAATTGAAAGTCATGACAGTATTCGAACCTATCACCTCCAAATAAAGAAATCACCTTGCTGAAGATTGCAACCCCCCCCCCCCCCCCCCCTAATCAAAAGTTTGTTGTGCTGAGTTGAGACAAAGAATCATAAAACAAGACACTAAATTTGAAAACTTGAATCAAGATAGCAAGGACATTCAGTCATGAACATTGATAAGAGACCGTTGGTTCTGAACTGGATTCTAGGCCTAATCGAAATGATTGCACAAGATAGACAGAATTGAGAATCAGCTATGAGCCTCATGAAATGATGACACAAGATCATGAATTTAGTCACATGGGCGTCATGGCCAGGTGTGGCATATAAGCTGCGTGTGGACTTTCCATGATGCTCTTTTGATTATAAAATAACATTCATTGAAGCTTATGATATATTGCTATAATTATTGCTTATGATGTCCTCAGACTAATGCTAATGATGAAACTGCTAAAGATTTGGCTAAAGTGTTGTTTGACACAGCCACACTGAGATCCGGTTTCCAGGTTAAAGATACACTGGACTTTGCTCAGCGCGTTGAAAAGATGTTGAGAATGAGTGTAGATGTGGACCTCAATGAAAAGGTAAGGAAAGTTCTCTCTTGTTCTCTTTGTCCTTATCTTCACTTTATTCCCTAAATGCTCCCTCCTGCTCTCTTTATCTGATGTGTACATGTGTGTGTTGACAGTTTGATAAATATATATTTTCAGAATAAAGTCTTAGAAACACTGGTTAAGAAAAGACAGATGATATACAAATCTTCGATGTTGTCTTCGAAACTAAAAAGTATTCATGATTTTAAATTGGAGAAAGAAGTTAATTGTTCAAAACTGTTCATAATGCAGTTTAAAAGAAATATTTAGAGTTAACAAAAATGAGTTGATACTTTGTGTGTGTGTGTGTGTGTGGGCGAGAGAGAGGGGTGAGAGAGAGACAAAATTTGCATAATAAAAAGCTATAATTTGGTCTGCTGTCTACTTTGAGGTTCCTCAAATTGCCTCCTGCATTCACATGTTCATGCTGTTAGTGTTTAAAAAAAAAACGTATAGAGACACAAACACACACACACGGATCATTTGACCATGGTTGGCTTGACTTGACTTAGTCACAGGCAGTGAGGAAAGTTGTGCTTTGAATTCAAGGAGACCCTAAACCTCAGCAGGCTGTGGTTGTTCTACAGAAACCCATGCAGGATTTGTGCCGTTGTGTCTTTAGTGTTCACTGGGAACATTTCAACAGGCTTGATTAGACCTGGTGTGTCTTGTAGACCATTTTACTCAAACATGTTCATGTGAAACAACCGACTGCCTGTTCTTACATAACAACTAAATGACACAATCACTTTTATAGGTTGAGGATGAACCTGAGGAGGAAGAGGATGTTGCAGCAGACAATACTAATGATGATGATGGTGCTGAAGATGATGGAGAGGAGGTCACCGATGAAGATAAAGTAAGTGCTTATTCATAGTCAGGACAATTTTTACCACGTGTGAGCATGTGTTTATCTATATATACATACACACAGGCCCTGAGTGGTTTTGAGGCACGGGGTCTGCCTCGAGTGCTGGAGGTCCCAGGTTCAGGCCCCGGTGAAGGTTAGGATTTTTTCACATGGACTTCTAGTAATGTTCCCTGGTCTCCTGGGTAGTGAAACCAGGCGCCCGTGTACATTGTTGTGCATGTAAAAAAAAAAACCTTGGCGTTTGGAAATTGACAAGAGTAGCCTAACGGCACTGCCCGGGAAAAATGTGGAGTTGAAAATCTACCCAAAATAATAAAGGATCCTCGCCGGTGCTACAGAGTTCGTGCACTGCCTGAGATTCTTCGGATTCAGGCATGAGTTAAAAGTGGAATGGAGAACTTATGTATTACTACCCTTGTGCCTTGTTGTTAATCCCTTGTATAAATCATAAACACGCATACATATATATAATATATTTAGTGTGAAGTTGGAGGGGTGGGGGAAGCTATACCCAGCATATGTTGTCTTTAATGTATATTTTAGAATGTTTGAGAGATTATTTGGATCTGTATATAAATAAACAGTGAGCTCTAATTCATCGGGAGATAGTATTATAGAGGTGTGAAATTACAGATTACATCTCTAATCACCTGGTCCTATCAGAAAAACTGATGGTCATATTAGAGAGTGGTTTTATAGTAAATACTTATTTCTTCTTCTTCTCATTCACTAGCTGTAAACTCACGGAAAGTTCTGTTTGTTCATCCACCTCTGGACTTGAGACTCGTCTCAGAACCTGAATATTGTGTGCACATCCAATTTGCAAGTCTGAAATATATGTATGCAGACTGTTGGTTTCTTACCTCTCAGGCAGATACACACCGACTTCGAAGGAAACTCCCAGTTAATAGACTCTTACCACATACTTGTTGGGGAGGCAGTGGGTTTGTTCTTGTTATCCCCATAATAGCGCCCCGGAACCCACACAGGGAAATAATTATTTGAATGTGGTGGAAATATTATTTTTCAGCTGGACATTGAATCCGGAAATTTGTTAGTAAACCTATTGCTGTGCTTTCATGATGCCTTAGTTTAGAAATGTGTGTTGTTTACATTTGTTGTTGGTGCATAATTATAACTGTTCATGTATCATATCAGCTTGGTTGTCGTAAAGTAAAATCTGTTTTTTGTTTTGTTTTATTGTAGGATTCTGATGAAGCTCCCAAGGATGAGTTGTAACAAGCTGGTCAGACAGTTTGAACCACTAATGTGATGCACTTTGAAATCATTACCATTTTCATTCTCGTTGTACCATATCATTGTATAGACTTTCATTATGTCTGGGAGCATTGTTCTTATCAACGTCCAAGTGTTGCAGATAAATTTACTTAATGTTTTGTTAAGAGTGTTGCTATAGAAACTTCTCTTATTCATGAAGCTTTATCATTCACCCTCACTTTTTGAAGGTGAACTATTGTTAACTATAACAGACACTTAGTGGACATCATTTTGTGGTTGAAGTTCCTTTGAGTTAACCAGCATCGCTCAGTCATCGGGAGAACAACATGATTTCATTTCTTCAAGAACAAATTTCAGAATTGCTGGAATGTATTTTGCTGTGTAATGTCTTATCAGAACATGCAGGATTCATTGACAGAAACAGCAAATATTTAGATTGTATATTATTTTTCAATGAACAAGAACAATTTAGTCACTCGAGCGTGTAAGATTGTTTCCTTTGTGTGGGTTGTCAGGTGAATTTGGTGCCCAGACTTACATTTTATTTAGCTTTTGGACAGGTAATTATGTGTGAAACCAAAGTTACTGCTGCTTGCATTTTGTATTTTTGTGGGGAAAAGAGCAGGCTTCTAAATGCAGGTGCTTGTTAATTGAGTGTGCAATAGCTTTTGCTGGCGTGTTGTGTTGTTGAACCACAGTATTCGTGTGAGGAAAATAAACATCTTTTTAGCTTACCTACTCATTCATGTTTTTTTAAATACTGAAACAAAATATTTTTAATAACCTCGAACAAGTGCTTTGCATAAAAATGTTCCATATTCTGTATTAAATGATCGTGTTAAGGTAATTAGTATATGGGTGTTTGTAATTATCTTGTTTATCCTCAAATGGAGCATAAGCACTCAACTAGCTGCTACAACACCAACAATCAAGATCTGATGAAAGAAAGACATGAGAGCCTATGATAAATATTTATCATCTGGTTGACTCATAAAATTATCTACTACTGAAAAAAAATTTACAAATATAAATTTGTTCACTTAATTGAAATGTCTTATGTATTTGTCTATTCCCTGCTGGAGGTGAATTTGAGAAGTATCTCATAAATATAGGCTTTTGAAATTGTGTTTCTTGAAAGATTTATTTGGTAATATTTGTATGTTCTGCTGTAATCCCTAGGGATAAATGAGAAGACAAATGTAGACTAGGGTAGCTGCATGAATAAACTGGAGGGTTTGCTGTGAAATTTGAGCATTTTTGGCACAAACTTTCTTGAGAACGTTAATAATGGTCTTATTTCAGTGGGCTAATATTAGAAAAATAAGTTTTATTGCAGATTCTTGGATCTAAGTTTTATAGAAAGTGATGAAATCTCCATATGAAAGTTATTTGATAAAATTAAAGTCATTCATTGGCACCTTTCCCTCTTTCCAGATGATAGTATAATGTGCATGGGACTCACAGCCTATCGCGAGGTCGAGTGACAAGCAAGACCTGCCCACAATAAGGTCTTCCACAATTATACCATGGAATTTCAGGACCACTATTGTCAACATTTGTTTTAGTGTGTTTCTTCTCAAACGCTCAGCTCTCATCCTTTCTGCAATCATTTCTTCCTTCATTCTCATTCCCTTCCTGATGTGCCCCCTCAACACAACATGGTCCGTGGCATTTTATTCCCAGGAGTCCACCTAAGCACATGTATCGCTCATGTCCCGCTTGCACAGATCTTTATATCGTAGTAGAGGTCGGCCTCGACATCTTCTACCCATCTTTAATTCACCATAGAGGATGTCCTGAGGGATAAATTAATGAAGGTATTAGTGTGTTTGTTAATCAATGAGCTTGTTTTTTAAATGTGCGTGAGATTGGACAAATAAATAATTATTAAGTGTTGATCAGATGTTTTAAGTTGATCTTGTGTTAGTGCTTTGAACATATAAGAGGCTTAGCTGGTTGATTTTCAGAACATGAACTTGCATTTTGCTGACAGAGCTGCTGCACTTGGGATTTTCAGGTTGATGAAATGTTTTTACTTGTTTGGTTCAGAATGATCAGTTTCTCATTAGTCAGTGTTTGATTTTGGCATTGCACACCTCCAATACAAAGGACCATTTATTCTTTTTGTTGCTTTGCTCACCATCACTAACAAGAAAGTTGAGTTTCTACATAATAAATATGGGGAGAGATGTGTTTTTATGATTATTTTAGGACAAGGAAAATGTGTTCTCTTCATAACTGTTGAACTTCTTCAATATATGTTATTTTTTTTTTTTTTAAACCACAGTAAGATTAGAGCTGTCTTTGGTTGAAACCTGTATACCATGATGTCATTGGCAGGCTGTGTGACACAGGTGATTCTATGATACTACACTGTGTAGTGATGGTGGTGTTGTTGTTTATAATATTAAATGTGGATTTATACAGTTAGTTTTGTCTTGTTTTTGCTACTGTGTGGGTCTGATTATCAGGCTAAGCTTGTGTTTTTGTTTGTTGTGTTTGTGGCAGTCAGATGATAAGTCATTAACTAATTTTGAAACCACTATTGTATGTTTTATTTACATGAAATCAGACTACCATTAGTTTACCTGGTTGACTCAGCCTAAAATGGGTAGCAGGAAGAATCCTGGGAAGTAAAGAAATCAGCATGATGTTGACATCATCATCCATGGAGTGGTCTTTAAAAAAATTTAGGGCTAGCAATATTATGCCTCAACGGTGAGAAATGGGTCCTTTACTTTTTCCGCTCACTTTACATGAAATCACAGAGTGATAATCAGATTGATATGTGCCGGGTAATGACCAGACTGATGGATATGCTTCTGTCACCCCTGTGAGCGGTGGGCTAGTTACTTTATGATAAAGTGGACATGGTGAAGGCTCTCTGTGGACATTGCAACAGAACAGAGTATGTTTGTTTGTTTTTAGTATCCAGAAGCCATGAGTTGTTAACCCTTAGGCTCGGTATTATGGATATCGCAACCTTTTGGCCTTGATTCCATTGTAAATACCGTAAATCTGGGAGAAATGTGGCTTTTCTGCCTACCCCCGGGATTGAACCCGGACCACAAGGAGTTCGTCACCCGCTCACCGCGCAATCCGGTTTAGCCAACTACGCTAGAGAGCCGGGCATAGAACAGTGTCCTTATTCATTGGGGAGTAGGCAAAGAGTCTAGGCAGATTTTAGCAGACGGGGGAATGGACTGGTGCACATTTAATTAGGTGATAACTGGCAGCAGAGTAATGGGACTTTATTGGCTACTGAGGAAGGGGACTGAGCACATATGGGAATGCCTCAAATGAAGGAATGTCAGTTTTTTTTATACAAATTCATTCAGATTGATAACAATTCTACCACAGTATAATGAGATACTCTCATAACCATTGTGTTGTTACAGTAATCTGATAACTATTCTCCTGAAGTACAAAAAGTTACTCTTAACTGATAACAAAAAAATCTCAGTCTGCAGAGTAGCGGGGACTGTACCAGCAGCCATGTGCCGTCAATCCTCAGGTTCAAGACACCGCCCTACAAAGTGGCACAAAACAGACAGAAAATGCTCTCTCATGAGCAAACATCTGTCTTGTCATTTCCTTTTGGCACAAGACAGGCAGACAATGCTCTCTCATGAGCATACGTCTGTCTTGTCATTTCCTTTGGCACAAAACAGACGAGACAATGCTCTCTCATGAGCATACATCTGTCTTGTCATTTCCTTTTGGCACAAGACAGGCAGACAATACTTTCTCATGAGCATACGTCTGACTTGTCATTTCCTTTTGGCACAAAACAGTCAGAAAATGCTCTCTCATGAGCATACATCTGTCTTGTCATTTCCTTTATCTTTACAATGATGGCAGACTCATAGTGCTGACACAGATGTTTAAAAAAACTTAAGAATGTTGAATTGAGAATCGACATCACAGCACTCGGGACATTGCCTTAAGTGCTCCATCCCCATCTTCAACAGCAAGCGAAGAGTTCCAATTCTGATGGCACCAGTAGCCGTCTGATTGTTTATCAGTCTCATCCTTTTCTTGAGTGTTGGCCAGAACCCCTGGTAACTCCTCTCAGCGCCATTCTCTTCAGACCGTAATGATCTATTTGCGCCTCCGCACTGTTCACTCGCTCCCAAATGGCCCTCACAAAATCTAGCTCGTCATACATCAGTTCACCACCAAGTGGTGCAGAGCCAGCCAGTCTATCTGCCAGCTCATTTCCCAACACACCGGCATGGCCTGGAGAAAATATCCAAAGGATGCTAACTACCCAGGACCTCTGAAGTGAAGCTTGCCACTGCACGAAGCATACCTGTGGGGTATAGTCAACGCTGTACGAACTGGGCTAGTGGAGAATGAGGAATCCCTGACACTAACACGATTGCGTGACATGGGAGTTAAGCATGGTGATGCACGTCTTTGCCGTCTTCGAGGCCGAGAAAGGAGACAATATAACCAGCTTCTCATGGGGACAATTAGTAGAAGTACTTTGGAGTGGCTGCTGCTTCGGAGAACTGAGCACGCATGGGTATGCCCAATGTGCAGTGACATTAATTGTGATAACAAAACATAAAATAACATCTTAGTAGGGAGTCGGCAGTACGAAACCCAAGTTCAAGGTGTCTCCTTCGTGCCAAAGAACTGCATGGCTGTTGGGTGAACAGTCGTTAACGATGGCAGGCAGGTCGTTGTAGGGGCGACGCCTGCTGGTGGATGTAATGTCCTAAGCCCCTTCCCCAGCTAATAACGAGGGTACTGCTGGGGTAACCGTTAATTAACCCTCATAAAATTCTTCCGGTCAAAATGGACGCTAGGCACGGCCACCATTTTTTAATTTTTTTTTTTTAAAGCCGTGGCAAAATTTTTTTTTTTTGGCCAGACGGTGGCCGTTGCATTTTTGCTCCATTTGTAGACTGGAAGGATGTAGTTTCGTCGCCCTGCTTCTGAGTTGAGTGCATGGCGTGACACTGTGAGCTGCATTTGTTTTTCGTTGGCACAGG